GGCCTCAGCAAGGAGGTAAGGGGGTCACCATGCGTCTTCCCCGTGCAGATGTGTCCCCCTCTATTATTTTCGGGGGACACACGCACAGACGGGATGCTCTCCTCACCCCACAGGACCTGGCTGAGGTGTGCAAGCGGGACGGTGCCGAGCGGGACGGGAAGGACGTGGACAGGGTGGTGGGCTTGGGCAGCTCCAGGTACGCGGCGTGGGGGGTCCCGTGCCAAAACGCCCTTTTTCAGGGCAAGTAGATATTTTTTATTCTTACTATTTTGCCATTTTTATGCTTTTTTGGGTGGGTGGGTTTTTTTTCATTTCGTCGTCATCTCTCCCCAGTGGCAGCGCTGGCCGGGTGATGCTCTCCAAGGAGGACAAGGAGGCAGCCAAGATGGGGCTCTCCATCTTCACGGTACAGCGCCGGGCACGTCTTCCCCATGAGGTTTAAAAAAAGATGGAAAAAGGCAAAAAGCCCTACCCTGCACTCAGGTTATTTTATTTAAAAAGCAAAGCTGGTGGTTGTAGTGCAGAGACCTGCAAGAGCTCCCCGTGTCCTCTTTGCACAGCGTTAATTTGTGCGGTTTTTAATTTGGAAGCAGCTCTTGCAGATATTTGATTTTTTTTTTCCAAATTAAATGAAAATTTTAAAGGGAGAAGGTCCCTTTTTCTTTTAATTCAAAGCTCTGGGCTCACAGACTCGCTCTGTATTTTTCTCCCTCTTCCAAACCCAGCACCAGAAAGTCTCCAGCAGCCCCGAGACCTCTGGCTCCAAGAAGAAGCAGGAAAAGGAGGAGAAGGTGGAGGAGAAACGGTGAGCATGGGGACCACTGCGTTCGTGGGAAACCACCAGAAATGGCCTTTTTTGGGGGAGAAATATTTTGCAAAACTCTTTTCCAGCTCCGTTTGGCATCGGGCTCGTTCTGCATCTGCCTGAATCACCCCCCAAAACTCTGCTTTGCGCCAAAAACCTTTTTCTTTTTTTTTTTTGGCTTCTCCTTGGCCAAGAAGGGACACGGTGGGATGCATGTGGAGGGATGAACTTTCGGAGGAGCCAGAGGGATGCGTGCGGCAGGGATCCTCACTGCTCAGTCTCTTTCCTGCAGACCCGAGGGTGGTAAGAAATCCAAAAAGGAGAAAAGAAAAAAGAAAAAGAAGAAACACAAGAAGGAGAAGAAGAAGGACAAGCATCACAGGAAGGATGCTGCTCCGTCATCCTCAGATTCATCTCCAGATCAGGATGAGAGGTAGCTGGGTTGGGATGAAGGCTGCGCAGGTCGTCATCGCTAGAAAACAGGATGAAGGATTTAGGAGGGCTACAAGGTTGTAGCTGGCATCAGGATGCCATGTCAGCATCTCCTGGCTTTCCAAAAATCCCTTCTCCATCCCCAAAAATTGGCTTGTTGTTATCTCCAGCATCGCTGCTGTCACCTATCCCTCCATCCCCACAGGCACCACCGAGGGAAAACCCAGCAGCGCCCTGAGACGTCGCGGCACAGCGGCCAGCGTCGGCAGGACACCGATTCCTCTGCCAGCAGCCGGGATTTGGGCAGGAGCTCCTCGCACCGTCCTGCCCGTCGGCAGAGCCGGAGCAGGGACGGTCGCGGTCGGCACCCGTCTCCGCAGCGTAAGGGGAGAAAGAGGAGCAGGAGCAGGTCCCCTCCGTCCCACAGGGTCAGGCAACGCCACAACAGTGATTCAGCTGACTGAGAGGGAGCCTGTTTGTTTTCTTTTTTTACCCCAGGGATATTTCACATAGGCTATATATTTTTTAAGGTTATTAAATTAAAAAAGCCGCAGCTCTGCGGTTGCCGGGGCTGAGTCTGGCAAAGGGTTTTATGATGCCAACTGCCCCTTCTCTGCCTGCAGCTCCTGCCTTCAAGCTGGGGCAGTAGCAGCAGCTCCCTGCTGCTGTCGATCCCCACTGTGGAGGGGTAGCAGGCACCCGCCCATCCATCCATCCATCCATCCATCCATCCATCCATCCATCCATCCATCCATCCATCCATCCAGACATGATTGAGCACAGAGGATGCCATGGGGTGGGTGCTGGTGCTTGGCACAGTTCCGGCTGCGACGCTGGAAACGCTGTGGACACCTCGTGTTTATGTAGAGAGACTTTGGATGCAATTTATTATTATGGTTTTATAATATCTTCTTTCAACGCCC